GGTTTTTCAGCACATGATTTATTACTAATTGCAAAGTGTGGCCTGCGCAGCGGACAGACACCCACCCATTTTTTTCTTGCAAGATGTTTGCAGCCAGCACAACATTGGAGCCATTGTCGTTGTCAGGATTGCGGGTGGAAGGCAGGACTCAAACGCAGACTTGCGGCAAACAAAAGACTTTAATAGTCACAAGGGTCAAAAAACACCGGAACTGGGGGCAAACGCACACAGGCAAGACAATACGACGATAACTGACGAAAGACAATGACGCGACAAGTGACACAGGAGACACACTGCTTAAATACACAAGGGAGGTGCAGGTGATTGGACACAGGTGGAAACTATTAGACGAACACAGGGGATGACGAGACAAGGCAGGAAGTGAAGTTACCCGGGGACACGAGTGGCAGAAAACTACAAAATAAGACAGGAAGTGAACCACACCGTGACAGCCTATGTTACATATTTACACAGCTGACAGCGATATTTAGCAGTACAACAATACAGTAGTGTTGACGTCTCACGACGGCGCGGCGCTGGAACGGAGAAAGAGGGATCTCCTCTGGATGAGTCGGCCCCCCGTAAAACGCCACGTCAGTGCCAGAACGTCCTGCGGCTTTTGAAAAGTGGTTCCCACATTTACTTTGGCGAAGAGGATGATTAAAGAATCGCTCATGGGAGTCGCCGAATCGAGTGTGGCGACCGTCTCCCGTCGACCCCGACCAACCCTGAGCAGGTTAACTGAGCCCCGCGGCGGTTTGTCGGCCCCCGCTGCCTTCAACCCGGGCCCCTTTAACGAGCCGTAAACCCTGAGCCGCTACACAGGCCGCAAGCTAAATGATGAGGGAGGCAGAAGGTTAACGCGGTGCAACGCGGCCCTGCCGGCGCTGTCCCCTGTACTTATCTCCAAACGTCTCCTCGTATGGAGTGGAGGGGTTTTTTTTGGTTGAGATTTTGTTCAGATCCAGATGAGGATGCAGAAACGTTAAGTGTCGCCTTGAAAAGTTCCATGCAGGAGTCAAAGTATTGCTTTAGCAGCGAACCACTAGTTGCTTTGCAGAGACGTGGAGGAGTGACGTCCACCTGTGGACAAAGGTCACTCCTCCAGCCACGTTCGAGATGCATCTTTTACATTTTGTTTATTCCACTTCCATTCGGTGGAATGTGCTCTCCATCCGCTCTGAGAGCATCTCCAATAAAGTACACGACACGACTATCTGTTGTATAAATCTGGACTCCTTCCTGATCCCCTTTCCGTTTACACGCCGAAGCCAACATCCCTGATATCATCTTAATGGCCGGGGATCATTTTCTCTGATTCAAGCATCCTATTCTGACCAGAAACATTTCGGCCGGAGAAAATGCCGCGTTCCCTCTGGCGTGATGATTCAGGCTTCCTTCATTTCAGAGTTCAGAAAAAGACGACGTCGATGTCACTGACGATACGTTCAGCGTCACCCAGAACCTCGGAGGGCCTCCCTCACCGCTCCGCCCTGGTCCAGTGCCTCGCTCAGCCCGTACGGCCAGAACATCTCGTCCCAGTGTCGTCACTGTGTGGCGCCGAGGCGTCTGGACCTCCTGTCTTCTCCAAGGTAAGTCCGCCTACGCAGTGATACGGTCCCAGTATCAAACAAACACGCGTGTGTGGGACGGTTAAATTGATATGATGCTGCAAAAGGTTCTGCTTATTCTTCTAACTCTGGCTGATAATCCAAAGGTCCATTTGGTCTGTTTAAACCAACTCTGGTGTGGTTCTGAACACAGTAAACCCGCCCTGAAACGGGACAAAAACCACCACTCCAACGACGTACGAGCAAAGATGGACACTGCAGCTGCAGGTCAACATGAACGGGGACGACTTGCTTCCCATCGAAGCCGAAGAGGAGAGACAGAATATTCAAGATCAACCGGAGAAGCACAGTAGATCAGTGACGCGTCAAAGCGACGAAGAAACGCCCCTCAGCAGGGGTCAACAGGACGTCACTCGGGGTCACTGGACTCGAGTTTGACGATTTTTGTTGGCGGCATCTTGACATTTTGCATTCTAGGAACATAAATAACCATATTTGGAATGTGGAGTTTCACAGAGACGCCATGTACGTCTCTGTTAAGAGACCTGTCAATCACACTGAGCCCCGCCCCCCTAAAGCACCCCCTGCTTTATGGTCTGTTTGACACAATTTACTAAATGGACATCATGCTGTGTTAAAGAAGACTATAAACTCTTGTTTCCTGAGGGAATAAATCTTGATAGATAGACTTGATAGGAGGAGATTCGTACCGACAAACGTTTCTGCAGTCGGGTTCTGATGTCGGGGGATAACACTGATTCCCAGTTGGTGTTTCAGTTCATCCAAAGCGCTTCTGACGGGGGTGAGGTCGCGGCTCTGTGCAGGCCACTTCCATTCCTGCACACACCAGGGTCGGAAAAACACGCACACGCACGCACATGCACTGGCTCGCTCTCAATGCCTTCCCCTTAATAACAGTGTGCAGCGCTGTGGCTTTCAGCAGTGGGGGTCAGATAAAACCCGGGGCTCAACAACGCCACACCCCCCCCCCCCCCCCGTGTGCAGCGCTTCTAACGGCACTGCCCAGACCCAAATGGGCCTCGGCCTCCTCCAGGCCCCTAAATCAGGTTCCCCTTCATTTGCACAAGACATTTGTTTTTCCTTTCTGAAGCCGTAACCGCCTCAGTGAGAGGACGAGTGAGGAGGCAGACGCACATCCGCACTGTCAGACCCGTGATGGACATCCCGCCTCGGGGTCGTCCCGCCCTGCGCCCGATGCTAAATGAGGCACACGGGGAAGAGGCTCGGGGCCTCTCAGGGGGCCGACGGCGAGTGCCTCTGGCTCTGGAGCGTCCAACCAGCAGAAGCTGGAGCGCGCCGCTGACGGACGTCTGTCTCTCGATCGAACGGACACAGAAAGTAACAGAGCATCTCGGGACAAAGTCGTCTTCCACTGGAAACAGGTGGGACGCCAGACGCCTTCATCAGGGTCCAGATGAGGACCGTGAAGGGGTTTAAATTAGCGGTTTCTGAGCAACATGTGAACGGACCGTAACACGACGACGAGGTGCCGACTTGGGCTTCTGCTTGAGAATAAAACACGAGGTCCACGTGTCTGATGAGCTCATTTCCTCCTCATTTCCTTCACTTGCTTCTTTTTCTCCTAAACCGCCCCCCCTGACCCCCCCCCCCCCCCCCCTCGTTTAGTTGGTAAAAGGCGCCCAGGGCTCCCAGGGCCAGGGGGGGTTTCTGGAGGGCCGGGTCTCAGGAGGGCCTCCCCCGCACGGCCCATGATACCGACAGGGGGAGGAGAACCTGG